AGAAGAAGAAGAAGAAGAAGAAGAAGAAGAAGAAGAAGAAGAAGAAGAAGAAGAAGAAGAAGAAGAAGAAGAAGAAGAAGAAGAAGAAGAAGAAGAAGCAGCAGCAGCTTGTGATCATTTTGTATGGCTTGTCTGGAAACTTCTGTAAATCTTATGTTTTAGTAAAATATTTTTTGTTATTCTAAAAAAAAAAACTAAAATTACAACCAACAAACTAGACCTAAATAGAACAAGGAGGCAATATTTCAGGCAGAAGACAGGGATGAGCACAGCTAAGAAGATGGAAAGAAACTTGAAGATACAATTACTAAACTACAAAGTACAACTGAGAACACAAACAACACAGTGACTGAGGTCAACACAAACACTTCAATAATAACTTCAACACACACTTCAATTTTTAATGGCCCAATTCCCCAATCGAATGGTGCAGGCTGACTGAATGGGTCATGAAATAAAATCCTGCAGGGCAGTGGTGGTGAACACTTTTCATTCCAGCATCCAGGAGTCAGAGGCAGACTGATCTTTGTGAGTTCAAGGCCAGCCTGTCTACAGAGTGAGTTCATGAGAGCCAGGGCTACACAGAGTAACCCTGTCTCAAAAAAACCAAAGTAGTAGTATTCATTATCATAATAATTCATCTACCTGTTGCCTATCAGTAAGTCAGCTTTAAAGATAGGAACTGATACAGAGTAAAAGTATGGAAAATAGTACTCAAATTAAATGAAAATTCATAAGGCTTCAACCCTACACAAATAACTACAGAAAACTAAGGGATGTTGGTATTGGGAGAAATAGTTTTCTCTAGAGAAGAACACATCAATTGGTTATCTAATACCAATTAATATCTGAGCCAATGTCTGTGGCTCCTGTTGCAACCAAGGGCCATGTAGATTTCCAGGGTCTGGGCGGGTGTTTGTGTCTGAGGAATGAGTTGCCACCAGGAACATGTGAGTCTGGGTGGTCTGTGCTGGCACCTTAGTCTGTGCTAAGGACCATGTCTGGGTCAGTGGTCCTTCTACAGTAAGGGTCTGTGTTGAAGTCTGTGGCCTATATTGCCACCAAGGACCATGTGAATGCCCGGGGTCAGTCAGCCACCTGAGTCCATGTCAGTGGCCAAGGGACATGCTGCAGCTGGGGACAGGCAGATCTGAGTGGGCTGAGCTGCTACCTGATGCCATGGTAATATCTGGGCCAGGATTGCAGCTGGGGGGCTATGTCTAGGTTCATGGCCCTACTTCAGCTAAGGTCAGTGTTGATGTACAAGGTTCCTGTTACCATCGAAGGCCACATGGATGCCCAAGATCTAGGGCCAAATTTGTGTCCAATGGCAACACATGCCCTGGGGCCATGCTAATCTGAGTGGCCTATACTGCCGCCTGGGGCAATGCTGACATCCAGACCAGGCTGCTCCCAAGATTCATGTCTGGGTCCCTGGTCCCACCGCAGTCAGGGTCTGTTTTGCCACCAAAGTTACATGTAAACCTGGGGTTAGGGCTTCAACCTTTGGCCTTGTTAGTGTCCAGGAGCCATTCCACCACTAGAGCCATCCTGAACTGAGTGCCCTGTGCTTCTACCCAGAGCCCAGATGTGGTGCGGGCCCAAGCTCCTGCCGAGAACCATGTCTGGGTCTGTGTTGATGTCTGTGTCCCATGTAGCCTCATAGAGCCATTGGGATCATGCATGATGGAATCACAGGGCCATGCTGAGCTGACCCTGCCCTTTGCTGGCCCCTGGATAGCGGGTGCTGTCCTCACCAGATGCTGCAGCAAGAAAGCTGGTTAACCCTCATGGGAGAGCTGGCCTCTGCAGAGATGGCCACATCACTCAAGTAAGGCAAAGGAGAGCTGACCCTGATGGCATGGGTATGGGGAGCTGGCTCCTTTCCTCACCTGAGGTGGTCACTCCCAGCTGGTCGCCTGGACTGACCAGCTCAACTACTACCAAGTCTCACCTAGGGTTGGCCCACCCTAACATCTACCCCTGCTGAAGCTTGTAAAGGGAATGGTCCTAACATCTACCCCATCTATGACATGCTGGAGCTTGTGAAGGGACTGGTCCTATGTATTGATAACCACAGGCTCTCCATGACTCAAGCTGCGGGATATCTGAGAGGAGTTGTTAGTGAGGAACCGGTGGTGATGGTATACCAGAAACCAGAGGCCTTGGATCAGACTCATAGCAATGAACATTTGCAAGTAAAGCTGATTGGACAAAAGGATATAATGGTGACATCGTGGCTCCCATTGCCACCAGGACAAACGAAGAAGTCCTGGAGAGGTGGGAAAGATGGAGGAGTAATGAGGGTTTTTTGGTGTAGTTTTGGTTTTTTCTTTTGTTTTATTTTTGTTTTTCTCTGTGGTTCATTTATTTTGGTTTGGTTTGTGTTGCAAAATATTTGTTTAACTATGTAAAGATGTGTTGCATTTGTTTAACTACGTAAAGTTGTACTGCTAATTTACCTTGCCTGCCTAAGGCACCTGATTGGTCTAGTAAAAAGCTCAATGGCCAATAGAGAGGGAGGTTGTTTAGGCAAAATTTCCAGGCAGGGAGAGTAAGTAGGAGGAGGAATTTAAGTTTGAGAAAGAAAGAAAAGGAGAAAACTGGGAGACACGAGGGGTCAGCCAGTCAGACACAGAAGAAACAGAAAAGTAAAACATACAGAATGAAAGAAAGGTTAAAGCCCCAGGCAAAATGTGGATGAATAGAAACAGGTTAAATCAAGTTACAAGACCTAGTGGGACAAGTCTAAGCTAAGTCCAAGCATTTATATTTAACAAGTCTCTGTGTCATTATTTGGGAGCTGGTTGGTGGCTCCCCAAAACTCTAACTACAGGTTTGTTTTGGAGGCAGGCAAATGGTAGGACTGGGAGGTAAGCAAGTTGAGGTGCATATTGTGAAATTCCCAAAGATCCAATAAAGAATTTATGTTTAAAAGAAAGGAAAAAAGAGGATGATACAGAGCAAAGCATACTAGAGCATTTAGCAGGCTGCTGCTGATCAAAGCTTTGTGACTAACAACTAGAAAATTTACAAATCAAATATTTACGGTGGTATAAAAACTCGGAAATGAACTGAAGGAGAGATAAGTCAAGTCTAGGAGCTGAAAAGACGGCTCAGTAATCAAGAGCTCTTGTTTTGCAGAGGACCCCAGTGAGTTTCCCAGCACCCACATTAGGCAGCACACAACAGCCTGTAACCAAAGCTCCAAGTATCTGCCATTCTCTTCTGGCCTCTGGGGTACCCACATACATGCACATGAACACATACACACATGCAAAAATAATAATAAAATAAAATCAATATATAAAAAAATCATTATAAAGTCTATTAAAACAATCAAACATTGCTCAGAGCAGTGGTTCTCGACCTTCCTAATGCTGCAACCTTTTAATTCAGTTCCTCATGTTGTGCTGACTTCCAACCATAAAATTATTTTCGTTGCTATTTCCTAACTGTAATTTTGCTGCTGTTATGGGCCGTAATGCAAAGGTCTGATATGTCTGATGATCTTAGGCGACCGACCCTTGTGAAAAGGTCATTCCACTTCTCTGAGGAATCATTTGGCACACAGTTTATCCCTGCTGCCATCTTAGAAGAAGACATAAATATTTACTTGTATAAAAAATCCTCTGCAGAGCTAAATCCCCTCCTCCTTCAGGCAGCCAGGGTGCAGACAATTCTACATTATTGTCTTACCCACAGACGATCATTTACCGATAACAAGCAATCCAAACTTATTGACAACCTTGGGAGAGGAATGATGACGAGAGGGATGGAAATGATTTCCTAGTTGTGTCTGAGTGACTTCAAACCCATCCTGTGATTCAGGACCTTACACTGATTTATACACTGCCCCGAACAGTGAGAGTGATCAGATCTCTTTTATCAAGACACATTTAGGACCTTGTGCCTGAGAAATTTTATTCATCTAAAACTCAGAACGAGAAAACACAGTGCCAGCCAGAATGGGTATGTGACACTCAGGGTTACCTGGTGACTGGTTTGTTCCTGAGACCTCAAGAGACTGCAGGGCAGGCAGGGTAAGAAGCAGCTCCTGTTCTGCTGCGCTGAGCTCCAGTCCACACATGGAGCACTTGGTGACAGAGGACTTGTGCAGCTCCAGAGCAGGGCGGATGCTTTCAAGAAAGCCGCTGCTGTGGTTCAAATGGAGTTCGATATTCTGTGATGCTGAGAAGACTTCCATTAGGACGCGGAGCAGTGCTTCGTCTGCAGGATCCATGTTGGCCACTGCAACTTCCAGCCTAGGGATCTTGTACTGCTTGGGTGACAGTTTCCAATAGCCAGCACTGATGTTGGGTGGATGCAGAGGTTGGCTGTTCATAAAATTCCTCACTTTATCTTCATTTTCAGCTAAATTTTTATCCCATTCCTTCATATGTTCAAAGGCAGGAGCGTAGTCCTCATCTACTGTTGGTGGCTGTAATGATTCAAAACATTTTTCCATGACTGAGTAACTAAAGACTCTTGGTGGCATTTTCTTTCCATGTATGAAGACCTTTACACTCCTCAACAGTAGCAGGCTCTCTGGGTGGTCCTCAAAGTACTGGAAATTCAGGACATTCAGAGTCAGTGTTCTCCCTCGAAGGAACTGAGAAATAATTGGAGAACATGCAGCGACCGTGTTGCTTTCATAGGCGATGTTTAGAGCAACACTCAATAGATGTTCTGAGATGAATGAGGAAAAAGCTTCAGGATATGCCTGCAACATTTCTTTAAATAACTTCATCGTCAGAGGAGTTTTTTGATGGAGCTTCCCGTAATCCTCATCTTCAGACATGTTCTCCAGCGACTCTTTACCATCCACCAAGTGAAGCAAGTGAGACACAACCATTGGCGCTGCCTTTGATGAAGGGTGGCTGGAGACATACTTCAAAAAATTGTTGTAGGTACCCATAGCCTTCAAGGGTGAGTTAATCTGTCTCAAATAATCAAGTCCCAGATCTTGGTCTTCCTTTCTTTCTGAACTCAGGAGTTCAGTCAGCCTCATGGCAGCAAGAAATTCTTGGAACAAAGGACTTAGGAACCGATAGACAGGGCTCAGTCTCTGGGCTGTGAATTTACTCAGCAGGCAGGTGGTCAGATCTTCATCTTCATCGACTCCTGCTTCTGTGAGGTCCTCACTACTGAACTCAAAGCAAGATGAGAAAAGCCCTCGCAAGGCCAGCTGGCCACACGAGGACACAGTGGCCCTGAAAGGCTCAGGTGTAGCCTTGTGCTGTAAGGAAAGGTATCTCATATAGAACTTGAAAACTGCCACATCGTGTAAGGACTGGTCAGAAGGATTTTGAAACCAGTCAGTACAGACTGCTGCAACGAAGAGGGGGGTTTTGTGAATTCCCTGCAAATCCACATTCTTTCCAAAGTATACCATAAACTTTTCCACACGGGTTATATCATGTGAGCAGAACTTCCGTAGTACAGAGACAGTATTATAGAAGGGAAACCCTTGGATCTCTAGGATTGTATCTAGGTATGGGCGGATGGCCCTGGCCCTGCTTGTATGGACAGCGATCAACAGGCAGGTTCGTGATAAGTAGTTTTTTGTAATTAGTGTTTGTATGGCTTGGGGCAGTGAGTCCATCCCACGGTAGTCATCCAACAGGAACAGCACCTGGTGCCTTAGCTGCTGGATGCTGCTGCTCAGGCACACGTCACTAACGCATCCTCCTGCCTCAAGGAGTTGGGCGCCGATGATGTCGGCCAGCCCCTGGTCTGGTCTGGTGGACCTCAGGGAGATGTAGAAGACCAGCTGGAACCTGTTCAACAGGGGACAGCATCCTGATGCCCAGAGGAAAGCTGTTTTCTTCAGGAAGGTTGTCTTCCCACTGCCGGTCTCCCCCTCCACACACATGACAGAGCTGAGGTTGGTGAAGACCTCGGGGAGCATCATGGCCTCTTGCACTGGCCTGCTGATGTGCTTTGAGACGATGGTCAGATCACACCCAAGCAAGTGGTCAGTGCCTAGGCTGGAACACACCTCTGGCAAATCCATGTGGCGGAAAGTGGCTTTGGTGTAGGCTCTTCTCAGCCGCTCACTCAGACTCTTTGCCTCTTGAAACCACTGGGCTTCCCTGCGAGCCAGGTCTGTGGAGAGGAGGGAGGCACAGCGGAAAACACATTGAAGTCTGACAATCTTTTTTTTTTTTTCTTTTTGAGGCATGTCTTCCCAGTGTATCCCTGGCTTTCCTGGAACTAGCTCTGTAGACCAGGCTGGCCTCAAACTCAGAAATCTGCCTGCATATACCTTCCGAGTGATGAGATTAAGGAATATGCCACAATGCCTATCAAAGTCTGGCAATCCTGATGCAATGATGTTAGCTCTGCTATTTGATCCTGCCTGTCCGCTGTGGATGGACCGCCCATGAGCTGCTCTTGGTATCATATCAGACCTATTCCCAGTACCAAAATGTGGGATCATGTGTCAAGGCCCTTTTTGACCTGGGGACTTAGACATAATCTGTACTTATTAGCAACTCCGAATTATTGGCGTTCCAACTTCTCATTGAAGATCTCAGGAAACCGGCTTGCTGCTTGAGACCTTTAACGCTGCCTGGTTGGGACCTGACACAGGACTGCTGTCATTAGTCCTTAGTTCTCAGGATGTCACAGGATGCTGCCTCGCTCTCCTCCACAGTACTCTCCATGTCTGTGCTCTCCTCTCTAGAGCTCCCTGGACAATCACAAATTCACTTTCCTCTCAAATCCCTAGGTACAAACACACACAGTCCCATGTTGCTTTCCAGTGCTCACCGGCCATGGTGGAGTGAACTGCCGCTCGGTCCTCATGACGGCTTTCCCCTGTGCTGTCCTTTGAACGAGAATCCGTTATTAAATCAAAACTGGGTCTTAAATCAAGATTGGATATTATGTCATCACTGATATATATAATCAATATTATCAACCAAATTGATAATACAATCAATCAAAACCCAACATCTTCTAAACACAGCCTACACTCGGTGCTGACTGAAGGAAGAGTGCTCTAGATGTGAAAGAGTTAATCTCACACGTCTGCATATCCTAGATGCATGGGATATACATCCTCTCTATGGGTGAGTGCTATTGGGGTAATCAAAATTGTAGCTTCTAGAACAAGAATGGTCCTGCAAAAAGCATTGTATATTGGCTCCATCCTTGGTTACTAGCAACTACATATGTAATACCACATACTGGGGTAGAGAAAAGTTATTATGTATGCATGCACATACACACAGTTTTTTGTGTTCTCTTTTTGAGAAAAGGTTTAACATAGGCTACGGTGATCCTCTATTTCCCAAGTGCTGGGATTAAATGCATGAATCATAACACCTGGCTTCAATGTCTTGCTTTTTATTTTTGTTTCTGTTTTTCAAACAGAGACTTGTTTAACCTAGACTGGCCTCAAACTTAGTTGTGTTGACCAGGACTTTGAACATCTGATACCCCTGCCTCCACCTCCCACTGCTATGACTCCAGGTATTCCACCACATCCAGTTTGATCAGTGCTGAGGATACTCAGGACTTTGTGTATACTGGGCTAACATTTTGCCAGTTGAGCTACATCTTCAGTGACTTCAATGTCATTTTAAAATTGCAAATGCAAGACATTAGTCAATTGACCCAAGTTGTTTTTCCTTTTGTTTTGATTTCCCTCCCCAGTTTGGTTATTTTTAATAAGGAGACTCATCGTTAAGGGTGGCCTTAAACTTATGGCTAGCCTTGAACTCATGTCAACTTCTGCCTCAGTCTCCAGAGTTCCTGTTTGCAGGCATGGGGCATCATGCCAAGCTTTAGTTCTTCTGGGGAGTGACATCCATAGTCTACTACCTTACCACCTCCAGGTGAGGACATGTGTGTGACTACTCAGTTGGTAGTTTGCATCCCTGAGTAATGTCGGGTTCAAACTATTATCTAGATTACAATTTTGCTACACATTGCTTTTGTTAAGGAAACACATCTACAGGCCAGCAATGTAGGTCAGTTACAGAATCCTTGCCTGCATTTGAACTACAAAAAAATAAAACAAGACAATAATAAAAACTCAGCTATGTATGTTGGCACACAAGCTTACAGTCCTGTCACTTGGAAAGGTAGTGCTAGGTGTGTCTTCTGTTCACTGTGAAGTCCCATATGCAGCTATCAGATCATAGTTGCTTAGTAAAGATTTGTAGAATTTATTTAATCCTATACTGACAATGGGCAATTGCTGTTCAAAACATTGTTCAACTACAGGATCAAGAACTGCCAAGTCTGAGAAGGGGCAGGATTCATTACCATGGCTTTCAGAAGTGCAGAGTCGCTCTGAAGGGCTGGAATCACTTCAGTAGAGGACTTTAGGTTTTGCAGAAAGACACAGCTAAGCAGAGGAGAAAAAAGTCAAAAAAATAGTTCCATGCAAGTAAGCATTTGTGTTGTGTTTTTAACACAGGCACAAAAATAAGAATGAAATAGAAAGCTAACATTTTCTGTGACTCTTTCAGTGTTTATCATATAAGACTTTCACAGCTGGGTAGTGGTGGCTAACAACTTTAACCCCAGCACTTGGGAGGCAGAGGCAGACTGTGAGTTCAAGGTAGTCTGTCTACAGAGTGAGTTCCAGGACAGCCAGGATGACACAGAGTAACCCTGTCTTAAACAAACAAAATAATAATAATAATATACTTTTGAAAGACCCCAGCTTAGCTGCTGTAACGCCATTTTGCAAGGCTTTAAAACAAACAAGTAAAGTTCAGGGTAAGGTCAGTACTCCTAGGCTGCCAAACAGGATATCTGCAGTCAGATATCTGGCCTAGGAGGGGAACAAAGAGTTCTGGGGAAGACGGCATATGCCCTAGATAGAGCCTAGTCAGCTGTTATCAGACGTTTGTGTCCCCAGCCAAGAGCCAGGGGGGTTGTCCTCAAGTAAACCCCTCGCTGCATTTGAAAGGACCAATGGGATCCCTGTAACCATGCATCTGCTTCTGTATGCCTGCTTCTGCCACCTGTTTCCATATAAAAGACCCCCTGCCTAGCCTGAGGGCACTCAAGTCTTCCGAATAGACTCTACCACCCTCAGGTACCTGTGTACTCTCAATAAAGAAACCTCCTGCCCGTTGCAGCCAGTGGTCTCGGACTGTTCCTTGGGTCTAGGGGTCTCCTCCTGAGGGAAGGTCCTTCCTGAGGGTCTTTCACTTTGACTTTCCACAACTTAGTGCATGTGACTCATAAGTGATGGTGAGAATATATGGAGCACAGGGTGGGGGAGTGCATATAGTTAATGTCTGTCTATACAAACAGATAAAATGAACATAGAAACCCAAAACTAGTAGCCTGCACTGTCAAATGGCTTGGCCCTGGAAACCTAACTGGGGTAACACAGGGGGAAGAAATGACACAGACACAGGAGAGCTGAGGGCTGGTGGGTGTGCTCACTCTGGTGAGCCCCTACTCAACTCAGAAACTCAGTCCCTCTACTATGTACAACATGGGGAAGAGGAGGAGGGTTAGCTAGTCTCTGTGGGAGGTCTCTAAAGGAAAGCAGCCTTGGGCTGTAAGCATCAGGTAGGAGGAAGCATCAGTGGATGCATTCTGCACACACTAACACACTGTCAACATCCACACTGCAGGGGAAGGGTCTGAGGCACTGAGATGCTTGACATGGCCCTGCAGCTGTCAATAATGTACTTTCACTCCAGGTTTCCTGCTCCCCACATAGCACTGATGGACTCTAGCCTAGCTCCAGGTCAATGAGAGACTCAAGAGACAGGGTACAGTGATGGAGGGCATTCCATGACACACACACACACACACACACACACACACACAATAAAATAAATAAATTTCTAAGAGTGAAAAAAAAAGAAAAAGCCATCTCTGTGGATAAGTAGGGGACAGAGAGACAACAGAGAAACAAAACCTGGAGACTTATCTCAGCCTGGAATAGGGTCAGAGTGTGGGCCTCTCAGTCACCTCTGCTGTCTTTCCAGGGCTGTGTATCCACTCCCTAGAGGTAGAGTAAGGGCATAGGAACAGTCCTCTGGGTACCTCAGTCTCGAAGGTCCTTGTTGCTGTCACTGACAGCTGAGGGGTACCAAAACCAAGTGAGTGAAATAACACACTCCTGAGTGAGTCCGGGGACCCGCCCCCCACCCAGGCACCACCCCCATCCATGCTCCACGGAGCTCCTCTCTGCAACTGAGAAAGGAGCTGCACAGTAGGGAAGGAACTTTCTGGCACCTAAGTCCTTGTTGAAAGGTTGAGAGACCGGGAAAATACAGCAGTCTCTCGCTGAGCAGACCACTCACTACTCTCAGCAAGTGAGTGGAAGCAAAACAGCAGCATCTGGAAAACAAGCAAGAACTTAATGATGCTGCAAGATGTCAACCACAGTCACGCTAGCTGTGAGAATCCAGCAAGAGGACAAAGAGCTGACATTTTTGGAAGAACACCAGTCTGCACTGAAACTAAGAATGAGCAAGTACCTGAAACAAAAGTTTAGAGTGCTGAGGGATAGAAAAATGATGACCGAGATGTGATACTGCAGTCAGAAGAGCCACAGTCCAGGTTAACCTGGCACATCTCAACAACAGCAGGCGGCTCTTCCGTGGTACATCTCTGCACATCCCTGAAGCACTTCCGCGTGCACTGGAGAGGAAGCACTTGGAAACAAATGGGAAAGAGTTACAAGCAAGTGTTGACCAGATCACAGAGATGGCAGCAACAATAAGAAAAACCATTGAAACTGACGAGAAGCAGGGTTGCAAAGAACAGAGGTGAATATTTCAACTCCAAGAAACAGATACCTTTTGTTGCTCTATGTTAATCTTGTCTGAGAGCTTCCCAAGATACAAAGGTTGGGAGAGAAACCCTTTATCAAGACTGTGCTTGGCACTGTATTTTTAGAAGCTTCATCAGGTTGTTTTGAGCATATGAGATCAACTGGCATAATTGTAAATATTGAGAAAAATAAAAATGCCCTGGGTGAAGGGGAAGTGCTTCAGTCGATCAAGGCTGAAGACCCCTGCAACTGCAAAAGGCTAAGTTCATTCTCAAAGTGTCTCTGAGCCTTCTTTCGACGGACTTGCTTGAGCTCACACCTGTACTACAACACCCACGATACAATGTCAAGTTGAAAAGTTTCAGAGCAGTGTAAGCTTATCTATGTTAGTGGGAATGTGCATCAGTACAACTAAGATTCCATACTTTCTTCTGTGTCTTTGAAAAAGACATATGAGCATTAGAAAATACATAGGTAAATATCCATAGGGCAACACTCAAAATAGCCTAAGCATTAAATCAACAGCACAGTTAAGTTATTGTATGCTTATTAAACTATACACTATGTGCCAAAAAACAAGTGAACTAAAAATGTGTTCATACTTCTAAGCTAGTCTGAGAAACAATGTGAAACAAAACAAGCCAACCTCTGAAGAATCATGCCCTGTGCTTCCATTTATTTGAGCATCACAAACAGGCAAGTCAGTACTACAGGGTGGACGTTATAGCCACATCCATCTGGCCTCCAGGAGAAAGACAGCAGGAAGCAGTACAGAACCTACAAGTCTCTCCCACTCAGCCTCTGCTGTCCCCTAGCCACACCCACACCAGGAACCTGACTGTGCTGCTTTCTTTTATGCTGCCTTGTTTAACTTTGTAAAGCTGTGTTGCTTTGCTTGCCTAAAACACCTGATTGGTCCAATAAAGAGCTGAATGGCCTATAGCAAGGCAGGAGAAAGAAATAGACAAGGCTGCCAGGCAGAGAGAATAAATAGGAGAAATCTAGGGGAGGAGTGAAAAAAGGAAAAGGAGAGGAAGATGCCATTGGGCCAGCCACACAGCCAGCCACAGAGTAAAAAGGAAAGAAAGAAAATAGAACAAATAAAGGTAAAAATCCAAGAGGCAAAACATAGTTAAAGAGAAATGAAAACAGGATAATTTGAGTTAGAAAAGCTGACTAGAAACAAGCCAAGCTAAGGCCAGGCATTCATAAGTAAGACTAAGTCTCCATGTACTTATTTGGGTACTGTCTGGTGGGCCCCCAAAGATTAAAAAAAAATACACTAAACATAGGAAACAGAGAGGGCTAACTGGAAGTGCAGCAGGGCTATACACACTCAAAGCACACTTCCAGTGGCTTACTTCTTCCAGCGTGGCTCCTCTACCTAAAAGTTCTATAACTTTCCCAAGCAATGCCACAAACTAGGGACCCAGGGTTCCGATATATAAGCTATGGCAGACATTTCTTATCTAAACCACCACAACCATACATGAAAATATTCTGGGTACTAACATAATGACAGTTGATAATTTAAAATAAAAAAGAAGCAGAAGGAACAAAAAAAATTTTACATAAAGATGGAGTTGATAGATTTTTTTTTTAGAAAAAGCTCTAAATGAAACTAGACTGCATCTAACTTATCAGCCCAAGGATTAAGAAGGTCCTGTCTTCCCAACTACCTACTACACACAAGTAAAAAGAAAAAAGTGAGCCTTGCTCTCAAGCATCTTCAAACTCACAATGAGAATAAAACAGTCTTAGTTAAGGAAGTTTAGATGGGATCTCACTATGGAGTCCCAGCTGACCTCCAACACATGCTCCCAAGAGGAGGGGTTAATGGGAGTGAAAGGAAGACAAGTGAAAGTACCAGGGGGGTGGTGGTAAACATAACTGAACTACACTGTATACATGTATAAAAATGTCAAAATTAAACCCATTATTACTTAAAACTAATATATAGTAATAGCCTTTAGAAGAATATGTCTAAGGGTTTGTCCTACTATCACCATTCTATCTCACAAACAGAGAGTTGTCTTTAAAAGTTAAACAAATTAAACTTAAATTCTTCTAGCATCAAAATAATGTAGCGCAACTTTACTTATGCTTCAGATGTCCAAAGGGCACCTGTGGAACAGAACAGAACAGCGGGCTTCCATGCGGCTACGCTCTCCGGGCATGCAAAGGCTGCCATACCAAAAGACATCTTCAACCGTGCTTTTCTGTGTTCACTGCTTGACTTTAAAAATAAACTGGTTTTAAAGTCACTTGTACTAAATGATTTCATATGAAAGAAAACCACACAGTGTCTTCTCTGAGAACTAGGACTGGAGGTGTGCACCAATGTGTTCAGTCAAAACACTCACGTTTAAGTCTGCACACACTGGTATTTAGTTCTGAAAAAAATTCGTGATAATTACTTAGTAAAAATAACAAATTTCTTCTTGCAGCTGAACATTTCTCGAGAGTTTTTTATGTGTAGAAAATGAGTAAAAATAAACTTGAAGCACAGAAAGGGGATGAGAGTCGCCCAATTTATTGGTTCCATTCCCAGCATTGGGAAAAGAAATTTAAAAAAAAAAAAGAAATATTATGTGTGAAATCTTAGATATTGGAAATAGGAAATTCTAAAAGCTTCTAGAAGAAACAGGAGGGGGAAAGTAGTTTCTAATAAAAGGAATCAAAACAGTATGAAACTGCCACGCACACCCTGGGCACTCATCACTTTAGAGGCTGATGAAGGAAGTCATGACTTCAAATTCAACTGTTTGGAATGGTATGAGCTATATAGCAAGATCCCGTCTTTAAAAGCATATATATTGCCATGTGTTGGTGGCACACGCCTTTAATCCCAGCACTCGGGAGGCAGAGGAAGGCAGAGGCAGGCAGATCTCAGTGAGTTCGAGGCAAGCCTGGTCTACAAAAGCTAGTTCCAGGACAGGCTCCAAAGCAGCACGGAGAAGAAACTCTGTCTTGAAAAACATATATATATATCCAGTAAAAACCAAGTCTAACTATGAGAGGAAAGCTAGACAGGGAAGATGTCATGGGAGGAAGGAGGTGAAGATAAAGTATGTGTCCTTCATAGTGGAACCGGAAGCTGGGCAGAGACTATCCACAGAGAAAGCAGGTTTGAGAGCAGTGACAGAATGACTGCTGAAGTACATTCAAAGTTAACCTTGCTCACTTGGGATAAAACCTGGTGTGATCTTCTAACGGGTCGTCACCTTCCTCCCATTTCCACATGTATGCGCCACAGGAGAAACATTGGACAGTGTCCCTTATGCCTAGAAGTAAGAAAATGTGGTCAGTGTTACTCCAACACATGCGTATCAACTCACACGCAGATAATAACTCAAGATCTTGAGAGTAAAACCCTATTTGCATCCCCAATTGAATTGTGTGGCAAAGTCATGCATGGGTCATCGGGGGCAACAGTTCACAGGGGACTCTCGGTCCTCCAATGGGGTGGCCAGCAACAGTCACTGAACGTTCCTGTGCACTGTGTATTTTGACCATCTCAGCCCTGTCATTCTAAGAGATTTTCAAAGAACAGAAGCTCTGTGGGAGTAGAGATTTCTGTCTGATTTGGACAATGATGACACTGTGGACTCTCACAGACAGGCAATCAATAAGAAAGAAGACACGTGAGGATCGGAGGTGGAGAAACACAGGAGCAAGCTTAGGGGCTCTCTGTAAGTGAGAGCGTGAAGAATTCCTTGTCTCTTCCCACGTTGTTTCCAGGTCTATTTCACTAAAAATAGGAGCATGTTGCCCATGAGACCTGATGAAGGCTGGCAAGAGGAGACGCAATAAAGAAGGGACAAAGGGTTAAGACTGTGAGGTAAAAAGACCATTCATGCCAGTGGAATATGTCTGTTAGGTAAAGTGTCTCCACAATCCACATTCTGAACTGCATTGACAACCACACAGTACTATGTTACCACAGTGACAGAGCCACACAAAACTCCATCTCAACTCAGGAGTGCACCTGGTCGGAGGAACACTAGCAAGATAACCAGGGAGGGCATCGTATCTTTTCCTTCCTCTCCTTGTACTTTAGGCAGTGACCCAGCTGAGGGGAATGAGTTTTGTATATTACCAAGTGGAGCTTCTGTGGGGCAGCAGCCAAAGAGAGATGAGGAACTTGTAGAAGATCCTTCATAGGTTGAAACTAAGGAAATGAATTTTGTTTCTTCTGTGAGCACTATGGTAAAAAGTGATCCACACCCTACTTTCTCCTATTCTTCCTTAGCAACAGATGGACACAAATACTGACTCACCTGGACCAGAACATCTGATGGACACAAATACTGACTCACCTGGACCAGATCATCTGATGGACACAAATACTGACTCACCTGTACCAGAACATCTGATGGACACAAATACTGACTCACCTGGACCAGAACATCTGATGGACACAAATACTGACTCACCTGGACCAGAACATCTGATGGACACAAATACTGACTCACCTGGACCAGAACATCTGATGGACACAAATACTGACTCACCTGTGTAGAAAAGGCCTGCTCTGACCAGATCTTCAACAGCCACGGGTGATTCTTGGGGCCAGTCCTTGAAAGTGTCCAGCCTTAGCTCTTCATTAGCAAAGACACTGTCATTGAAGTAAGCTTGGAAGTTGTGGGGAGAGAGAAAAAACAGATGTTTGTGAGACCAGCATTTGAAAAGTTCAAGTTAGCTGTGTGTGGGGGTGGAATGATCTGATGTACTGTGCTTGCATCAAAATAATTGAGAGTGGTTAGAAAAGCACAAAAGCATAAAAGATACAATCCAATTTAACTAATAAAAATATTTTTACAGTCTAGATGTCTTTTTTATTTTACTTTTTACTTCTATCGAACCATGGAATAACAGGGAATAGCTCCCTAGTACCATGATGTGTGTTCTCTGGGAGGAGCAGGTTGGCACTTCAGTTTCTCTTTGGCTTCCTTCCTCTGATCATTTTCCATCACTCACTTCAAGGAGCACATTCAGCTCTTAGTTTCTCTCTCCTCTTCCTCCTCCACCTCCCCCCCCCCCACTGACATGTGTATGTGTGTGTATGGGTTCCATGTGTGTACAGGTACCTGTATGTTTGTGGGTACATGTGCATTGTGGGCACATACAAGAGGAGACCAGATGACAACGTTCACTGTTATTTTTCAATACCCCCCCTTTTTTTTGAGAAAGTCCCTCATTTGCCTTGAACTCACTAAGCCAACTAGGTTGTCTGGCTGTGGATATCTAAGGATGGACATGCCTGCCTCCCAGTGCTGAGATCACAAGCCCATACTGCCACACATTGCTTTTTCACATGGATTCTGGAGATAGAGTCCGGGTCTTTGTTCTCTAAAGACCTTTGGTACTCCCAACCCTTGTTTGTTTTGTTTGTGGTTTTTGAAAACAGGGTCTTACTATGTAGCTTTGGCTAGCCTGGAATTCAATATGTAGACCAGGCTGGCCTTGAGCACACGGAAATGTGCCTGTCTCTGCCTCCTACATGCTGGGATTAGGTGTGTGCCATTACACCCAGGCCTTACTAGCTCTTAAAATGCTCAATACATATATTCTTTTGGCAAAAAAAAATGCCCTTTGGGTCAATCAGATATGGCTGGACTTAGCTGCTCTTTTCTTCCTCTTGGACATGGGTCAACCAGATATGATGACCTGACTGAACTTTTTTTTTTTTAATATATAGGTCAACCAGTTAGTTGTCTTTTTATTTAACATAGAAGTTGACCAGTTGACTCTGTGGAATTTGTTTCTAAAGCTTTTAAATGGAGGTTGACCAGCTAGCCTCTTAAATTTTTCTTCTTTAATAAGAACAGGGCTGGTGGTGCAATTTATTGAATTTTTATTTTAAAATTTAAAAAATTTTCTTATTTAAATAAGGATGGGGTAGGCAGTATAATTTATTTTTTTCTTTTAGTGATTTTTTTAATATATACTAATACTGTATACAGGTTGACCTAAAGTTGGTTGTCTTTTTATTGAACACAGAGATTGATCAGTTGGCTCTGTAGATTTTTTTTTTCTAAAAGCTTTAGATGGAGGTCAATTAGTCATCCTTTTAATTTTTTTTATTTATTAAGGATGGGACAGCTGGTATAATTTGTTTGTCTTTGGGTTGTTTTTTTTTTTTTTTTTTTTTGTT